ATTGTGACCATGTCTTCATGTGTTTGTTCGCCATCTGAATGTTTTCTTTGGCGAAGTGTCTGTTTATATATTGTGCCCATTTTACAATTAGGTTGTCTACTTTTTCTTGTGTTGATTAATAACTGTTTTCCCCCCTCTTTTTAATTATTAATTTTAATGAAACTTTACAGAGACATTGGATTTCCATTCATTCATTGTTGCACTTTTCTCCCTGCCCACCTGTCCCCCCCATAACTGTTTTAAACCTGCCCCATTAATACTCTTCACTTTGCCAACTACATGCTCAGTGACACCACTCATCTTCCAAGAAAGCCTAAACCTACAGGTGCTCAGCACTAGCTCCGTGGGCTGGAAAACCCAGCTTCCCAACAAATGCCCAAAGGTACCCACTCCACCAGTAAGCGCTCTATTTTTTCTCTCTCTCTGCAGGTCCCCTGCTGCCACCACCACTGCTACCACTTTTACTACTCCTACCATCCTGCCTCATAGTAACTCACTATGCCAAGCTGTCTCTGGTGTTATAGCTGTTCTCGTGTCAGTGCTGGGATCTCATGTCCAAAGGACATGCCTCATTCTCTGACTCTTCTTTCTTCATGGTAGCAAGATCGCTGTTTTCTGTCTCTGCTACGGTTAAGTCTGGTGAAATGACAATCCTGACATTAGTGTTCTACATACCTTCATGGCATAGACTTGCTTGAAAGATGCAGTTTACATTTACTATTAGCAAACTCCCCAGTCCCCTAATTGGGCTACAAACACCTCACATTTGCATAATACTGTCCACACATCCATCTGACATACTTTAAGCATGTTGCAAAGAGGGACCAGTCCTTGGAGAGGGACACCATGCTTGGGAGGGTGGAGGGACAGCACAGGAGAGGAAGGCCCTCTATGAGGTGGATGATTCAATGACTGGGTCAATGGTGGTCAGTGTTTCAGAGATGATGCTATTGGCTCAGGACAGAGCAGGGTTCAGAACTGTTGTACACAGGTTGCTTTGAGTCAGAGTTGACTCGATGGCACAACAATAATAACATTTAGCCATTGCCCAGTGGGCTTGAACATATTAGAGATCAAGATGATAGAGCAGAATAGGGCAAGGATCAGATCTGTTGTTCATAGGGTCACTATGAGTCAAAATTGACTCAACAGCAGCTAACATCAACATCACCCAGACATGTGGCGGGAGTTACACAGACACATCAATAACTCACTGTACCACAACAAAAGAACCTAAAAGGATTCACGTGACTAATTTTATTTCTGTGGTCACAAATATTTTTGTGGGCCAAGCCCACAATCTCTCTGAGGTGTGTGCCTGCAGTTCTGTGTCCCATGTTCTGATTCTTAATGTATGTAACTACTGTGCCTTTCCATCTGAGGCTGTGGTAAACCAGCACAATGAAGGTCTCAAAGACTTTACTCTTTGGCCTTATCAAGGTCAACTCTTCTCCAAGGAGCTAGCTTTCTCCAGCTGTGTTTTTAGCGTCTTCCAACCTGAGTGGCCCATCTTCAAGCACGGGATCAGAAAATATGCTGGTGTTGTCTGTAGTGTTCCCAACGGCTAATATCCAGGAGTAGATTGCCAGGGCTTTCTTCCTACTATTTGTCGGCTAGCTGCACAGAAACCTGTGGACCCTGAGTGGCCCTAGTGGTATTTGAAATACTGGAGACATGGCTTCCGGCACTAAGTAGCATGCAAGCCCCCACAGGACAACAAAACAGCCAACAGTTGGTGGAAATGGGCTCTAGGCTCTAAATAATTTTTATGTGGGTCAGCCATTTCCCATGAAATCACCCCCCTGATGTAGTCCTCAACATTATCTCTGTTCCTGCTCTATATCAGGCTGCTTTATTTCTTCTGTTCAACTATATCTGTAAATTTGTTGCTGTTAGGTGTCATCAAGCTGAGAATGATTCAGCCCCTTACAGCCAGCCTGGACCCTGCCCAAATTTACACTGTGTTGTAACCTAGCCAGGGAGTTCTGGTGACAACTCCTCAGAGAGCGTCACTGATGCCTGGAAGGCCTTGCCTCACTGGTGGTTCAAATCCAACAGTGACTGCACAGGAGTGTCGCAGACAATTTACAGCCTGAGAAACACATTAGAGGGTCAGCTATGGGTCGGTTCCAACTTGATGGTAATGAGAGTTGTAAGTATATTCTATGAAGTGTACAAGGTTTTTATGCACCATCGAGTCAGAACTGACCTATAGATGACCCTCCCTTGAGCAGGTATTCAGAGGTAGTAAATCACACTGGAAGAGATTGCCCATCTTTCTCCCACAGAGCAGCTGGTGGATTTGAACCAAATACCTTAGGGTTGACAGTACACTTCCTTACCACTAAGCCACCAGAGGTCTGTGATGAAAAAGTTTGAAATATTGCCAGAATTACCAAAATATGGTACAAAGACCGAAGTGAGCACATGTTATTAGAAAAATGCTGTTTGACTTGCTTCCCAAAATATCTGCAAAATATAACGAAACAAGGTATGCTAGTATTAATCAGTATTGAGAATCTAGCTCTGGTAGACCTTATTCTCAATGCTGGATACAGACTGGAAAAGGCATGGGCCATGTAATTTCATTACTGCTCTGACTCTTCATTGCCTGTGTTGGAGCCAGTTCCCTTCAGTGGGTTCTCAGAGGCTGCAAATGTACCAGGAGTGTTGGAGGCCTAATAGTAAGGAGTTGCACTGACTACCCGACGGTATACTGTCCTGGTTATGCACCTGAGAGCTGGACGGTGATAAGGATGACAGAGAAGGCTTGATGCCTTTGAGTTGTTGTCTTGGAGAAGGGTACTGAATATGCCATGGACTGGCAAAAGAATGAACAGGTGTGTCTTGGGAAAAGTGCAACCAGAGCGCTCCCTGGAGGCAAGGCTGGCAAAGCTTTGTCTCTCATACTTTGGACATACTGCTAGGAGAGGCTATTCTTTGGAAAGGGATATCATACTTGGAAAGGTGGAGGGTCAGTAAGAGAAAGACCTCCAATGAGGGGGATTGACATGGTCACTTCAGCAAGGGGCTCAACTGACTCAGAAATGATGCGGGTGGCATAGCATAGGACAGGGTTCAGATCTGTTGCTCATTGGGTCACTGTGAGTCGTACTCGACTCAATAGAACAACAACAACAACAACAAGTTGTACAGGAGGAGCTTGTCCATAGTTTCCCCAAGAAGCAGCTGGTGGATTCGAACCACCTGTCTTTGGGTTGGCAGTGCAACTCTTTATTCACTAGATTACCAGAGCTCCTGTGATTTCATGAAACATAAAAATTTATTAAAAATGGTGAATGACTTTCCTTTTGCATAGTGTAAAGTAATATGCATGTAGAAATTCACATTGCCTAAAAATGTCAGGAGCACAGGTGTTACAGTAAGCTTTGGGTGCGGTGTAAGTGGAAAGAAAGTGCTGGCACAACTTTCCCCGCTTTTCCCTCCCTTCTTTTTTCTTCCTTTGTTAAGAGATTGTTTTTCCACAACTCTGTGCATTATTTTATTATTATTATTATTATTATTATTATTGTAAGTTGCTGTCAAGTTCAACTCCTAGCAGCCCCATGTGCACAAAACAGACCTGCTACATAAGCTTCGAGAGCTCTGACTATTCAGAAGGCTGCCTCACAGTGCTGCTGGGAGGTTCAAACCACCAGTCTTCACCTAACAGCAACGTGTTTCACTGCCTGTGCGGACTCTGCACTCTCTGTGTGCATATGTCTGTGATGTGTGCTCACACTGCGCCTAAGTAGTATTTTCTTTGACTGGAAGTATTTTGATGGTGGCTATTTTGGTACCTACCTCTGAAAACTAGTGAGAGAGAGAGAGAGTGGGCGAAAACCTCTAATTCTTGTTCTGTCCAGCTCTGCCTTACTTATGTTGGGCAGATGGCTTGTCTAGATGACTTCTAGAGTCCTGTTTAACTTTGGCTTTATCTTTCTGTGACCTTTTACTCACACAGCACTTTATAAATAAACTTGAGCCTCTTTTGCTGACACGTAGACACAGGCTCAGAAAATCAAACTGGTGACTCCTACAGTGTTAGGAGTTTTTAACTGTATGAGATATTGTCACAAGATTTATTGGTATATGGGGGTTTTGAGGGGTTTTTTAGGGTTCATATCTGTTGTTTATAGTGTTGCTATGAGTTATACTCTATTTGATGGTACTTAATGATAAAAAAGCAATTCTTAACATCTGTTAAGGCAACTACTTGTTTTCTCTCCCACATTTTGCTTCCTTTTTAGTATTGCACATTTCTTGGTTTTTTTTCTTTTGGTGTTTTTTTTTAAATTTATTATTAATTTCAATGAAAAGTTACAGAGACTTTGCATTTCCATTCATTCATTCATTGTTGCACTTTTCTCCCCTCCCAACCTTCCCCTGCCCCAGTACACTCCCCTCTTGGAAAAGTAAAAGAAAAATTCTTTCATTGTTTTACAATCCCTCCCCCCAGGTCCACTCCACTATGCAGCCTTCGTTCTGGACTCCTGTCATGACAAAAATACCTAATCACATATCCCTTTTAAACAGTTTTCTCCCTCATCTGTTTCAATGCAGTATACATTATTGAACCCATCTTTCTCAGTCTTCCCCCAACCCCGATGTCAGTCCTGTTTTAGAACAGTGGCACCATGCAGTATTTGTCCTTTTGTGACTGAGATACTTCACTCAGCATAATGTCCTTCAGGGTCACCCATTTTGAATAATATTGCATGAGTTGCTTGTTTTTCAATGCAATGTAGTATTCCATTGTGTGAATATACCAGAGCTTCTCTATCCATTTGATTGTTGATGGGCATTTAGGTTGTTTCTAACTCATTGTTATTGTGAACAAAGCCGCGATAAACATGTGTGTGCATGGTATATGTTTTTAAATTTATGTTTGGTTGTTTTTTTTTTACTTAGTTGGACATATTGCGAGGATTGGTGGAGGTCGTGATTAATTTAAAACAATACAGTTGGTTTGTGGTTTGTAATACTTGTCTTTTTGTCAGAGAGCCAAGCCTCCCCAAGGCGTCGGGGTCAAGGCACAGGAGGAGAGGATCCTGCACAGCCATGAGAAGCATCTGGCTATTTTGAAATCCATTAAGGAGAGTGAGTGGCATCGCTTGAAAGCTGAGTGGGACCAACACAATGACCGCAAGTTTTTGGACAACCTGGTTCAAGCAAAGATCAAGGATGCTATGCAAGGTTTTATCATCAACACTGAAGAAAGACGAAATAAGTAAGGTTCAAAAAATCTGGTGGCCCAGACTATTACACATTCCTAAAAACTACAAGTTGAGATCAATCAATCAAAACTTAAGTGAATTTTATAGTGACGATCATGGCTGAGATAGTCATGTTGTTGTTGTTGTTGTTGAGTATAGTTGAGTTGGAACGGAACCATAGCTGACCCTCCAGTGGGTTTTCAGAGGCTGCCCATCTTTCTCCCATGGAGCAGCTGGTGCATTCTAATTTCCTGCCTTTAAGGTTGGCAATGCAACTCCTTGCCACTAAGCTCTCAGAAATCCAGAAAGTCCTTGTCCTACCAAATCAGTGTCATTGTTAGCTGATATTGAGTTGGCCCCTGACCTGTGGTGGCCCAGTCACAGCGGAAGGGAAGGCCGCTCAGTCCTGCCCATCCCCCATCAGTTGTGGCCTGGACTATTGTCATTCCCGAAGTTTTCACTCGCTGATCTTCAGACACAGATGGCCAGGCCTTTCTTTCTAGTCCATCAGCCTGTGAGCTCCACGGAAATCTGTATAGTGCCTTAACTACATGCAAGCTACCACTGAGAGGTGGGTAGTGGCTGTGCCTGAGGTTCGTTGGCCAGGAATTGAACCCATGTTTCCCACATAGCAGGCATGGGCTCTGCCGCTTGATTACCAATCAATCTCTCAAACTCCCATTACTCTGTATGTATGTATGTGTGTTTGTATATGTACACGCACACAGATACATGCATAAATATATAGACATATATATTCAATAGCAACAGCTATTTCTTATTAATCTTTTTTACTTGTGATAACCAGTGTTTTGATGGAAAACAAATGCCTTATTTCATATTTTGTTATTTTATTGAAAATTTGCTCTGTTTACTTCTTTCATTCAATATATACTTTTCATCTTATCTATTATATGTATGTGATCCAATAAAACACAGCTCATCTCAGGCCTTTCATTGCTTTAAATGACATCTAGTCTTATCTTTTTGGAAGCAGGAGTGGCATCCACTTCCTAAACAACATGCCTCTGGAAACTCTATGAACTTTGGTAAATGTTGGTGGTTGTAGAGGGGCTTCAGGCCTTTGTTCATAGGGTCATTATGAGTTATGCTCGACTTGAAGGTAACCAACAACAACAGAAGTCTTGTCTTGATGACGTAGGACTTAGCTCCAGTAGAATTCTTTTCCTCTCATCTTGTTTCCTGTATGACTAAAGGTATTTTCCCCTTCTTACAAATTTATCAGTTGCAATACCAGAGACTGAATACAACTAAATGAAAATCAGTAAATTGGCATCACAGTTTCAATGTCTTTCTTTTGTCTTTTTGCTTCAGATTACGTTGCCTTTTAGCATCAGAAGAAAATGAGTATTTTGCTGAAATGCAATTGAAAGAAGAAACAACGGAGATGAAAAGAGAGAGAATGAAAGAGAAAACCAGAATGCTGAAAGAGCAAAGAGAAAAAGAGAAAGAGCTCTTTGTGACAGAAAAGCTGGACCAGCAATTCAGGTAATGGAGTCAGAAAAACACATTCAGTCTAATATGTAGCAACCCATGGCGGACAGTGTTTGCTGGAGCTTCCCGACTAAAACAAGCCTGGAAGCAGGAGTGGCATCCACTTCCGAAATGGCTTGCCTCCGGAAACTCTATGTATGAACAGTGCTCAGGCCTTTCGTTCATAGGGTCGCTATGAGTTGTCTATGACTTGACGGCACCTAACAACAACAACAACTAATATGTAAGGAGCTCTGGTGGCCTAGGGATGAGGAATTGTGCTGCAATCCCAAAGGCATATGGTTTGAATCCACCAGCTGCTCCACAGGAGAAGGATGGGCAGTCTTCTCCTGTGAGATTAACTGCCTCTGAAAACCAAAACCTGCTGGAAGGTCAGCTATGGGTCAATTCTGACTCAACGGTACCCAGCAACAACAGACTGATATGTAGTTGGTGTGTATGTGTTTATTTAAGAAGTAAGAATGCTAACTTAGATAAATTACAGCCTTCAGAGAATCTATATTGTCATGGAGATTGAGATTGTTAACAACTTTAGTTTGCTTGGCTCCATGGTCAACACTTTTGGCACCAGTAGCCAGGAAATAGAAAAAACGTATTGCGGTGGGAAAGTCTGCTGTTAGGGACCTCTCCAGGGTACTGAAGAGCAATGGTGTCACTCTGGAGACTAAGGTGCGTCTGATACAGGCTATGGTCTTTGCAATCACTTTGTTATGCATCAGAGAGTTGGACAATGACTAAGGAGGATAGAAGGAGAACTGATACCTTTGAGCTGTGGTGCTGGTGAAGAGTATTAAATGTACCCTGGACTGCCAAGAAAACAGATTCATCCTGGAGAGGGTTAAACCAGGCTGCTCCTTGGAGGCAAGAATTCTGAGACTTCATCTGACATACTTTGGACATGTTGTAAGGAGGGACCAGTCCTTGGAGAAGGACATCATGCTTGGGAGGGTGGAGGGACAGCGCAGGAGGGGAAGACCCTCTAGGAGGTGAATTGACTCAGTGGCTGTGGTAATCGGGTTGGGTGTGTCAGAGGCAATGCGACTGGCACAGGATAGAGCAGGGTTTAGGGCCGTTGTACACAGGGTCGCTATGAGTCATAAGCGACTTGACAACACATAACAACAACCACCACCACCTTTGTTGTTGGGTGCCATCAAGTTGACTGAGGCTCTTAATGACACTGTGAGCAGCGATCAAGACCTTTCGCTACCCGGTGCCATCCTCCTGATCTCCAACACGCTTGAGCACGAGCTTTAACCAGTTAAGGAGAATTGTTAGAATTTTTGAAGAAATGGCTATATCCTACTGGAATAGAATTCAGCCCCAAGCGAATGGTTTTTGGTGTTTTTAAGGCAACACAGCTAACTTCTTGGATACAATGCAGCAAACGTGTTATTGTTGTGTGCTGCTGAGTTCACTAGAAACACGGTGACCCTGTGAACAGCAGATCTGAACCCTACCCTGTGCTGCACCGTCCCCACCGTCCTCCCCATGCTCAAGCCCATTGGGTCAATCCAGCTTGAGAGTCTTCCTACCTTTCACTGACTCTCCACCTTTCCCAGTCTTTTCCTGAGGACTAGCCCCCTGCCCTGACAACATGCCCAAAGTAGATAAGCTGGAGTTTCATCTTTCTTGCCTCTAAGGAGCACCCGGGTTGTGTTTCCCCTGAGACAGACTTGCGTATTCTGTTGGCAATCCAGGGGATATTGCATTCTCTCCACCACCACAAGTCCACCTGATACAGGCCATGGTCTTTGAAATCACTTGTTATGCATCAGAGAGTCGGACAATGACTAGGAAGGATAGAAGGAGAATTGACACCTTTGAGCTGTGGGGCTGGAGAAGAGTATTGATTGTTCCATGGACTGCCAAGAAAACAAACAGATTCATCCTGGAGAGGGTTATACCAGGCTACTCCTTAGAGGCAAGGATTCTGGGGCTTCATCTGACATACTTTGGACATGTTGTAACGAGGGACAGGTACTTGGAGAGGGACATCATGCTTGGGAGGGTGGAGGGACGGCGCAGGAGGGGAAGACCCTCTATGAGGTGGATTGATTCAGTGGCTGGGGTAATTGGGATGGGTGTGTCAGAGGCAATGCGTTTGGCACAGGATAGAGCAGGGTTTAGGGCTGTTGTACATAGGGTCGCTATGAGTCGCAAACGACTCGACGGCACATAACAACAACAACAAC